TTCTGATTCCAGCATTCCACGTTTCATTACAATCGGCGTTTGTCCGGGCGCCTGGTAGAAAGTGGTCTTCGCAGTCCACGATAGCCTGCTTCGGCCAGCCATTGCTACCCCGGTTCGTCGTGCGAGGAACCCTGGTACCCTGGCTCGGGCGTTCCCAGTGCAAGTTACCTCGAGCGCTGGGTAGCAAACGTTTTGGCGGATCCAAACGCAAACTTTCTTTATTAAACAGAAATAGATTTGTTGATTTTAACTCTCAGTAGAGTTCTTGAAAGTGTTTCCTTAAAATAACTTTGTATCTTATGGAGGACTTCAAAATCGTCTTCCCCTAATGTTGAGGGGACCTCTGTGTCTCAGTCCGGCCTTGCACACACACACACACACACGCACGCACGCACACACACACACACATATTTAAATGTTGCATATATGTATATAGTTATATATGCTCTGTAATCATTATGATTACTATTGTTAATGATAATATAATCATTATCATTATTACTGTTACCAGTATTTTCATTATCATTATTATCATTTCTATTACTATTACTTCTTATTATTACTATTATTTTCATTATCATCATTATCATTATCATTATTGATATTGCTATATCATCATTATTATCATTATCATCATTATCATTATTGATATTATTACTGCTCTTGCCATTATCATCGTCGTTGTCATTATCAAAAACGCAGTCTTTACGTATCTTTATCATCATTGTATCATTATCATCATAAATGAATAGATAAATAAATAAAAATGAATGTGTGCGAATACATATAGTACATACACACACATTAACACACATACACACACTTATATGTATGTATGCATAAGTGTATATGTGCGTGTCCGCCTGTATGTATGCATATAGCATAAGCCATACACAACTTTTTTAATTTCACGCATTTTTGAAACTCGTGAGATTTTTTTCGCCCAGTTGGAGGAACTAATTACTTCCATACTTTCAAATCTACGGCAGTTGTCACGTAGCAATAACCGCTGGCAGTTATTCAGATTCTCACATTCCATGATTTTCACATATTTATGTAATTCAAATATTTAATATGGACATTCATAATTCATACACATACATTCATACTTCATACATTCATACATACATACATACATACATACATACATACATACATACATACATACATACATACATAAATACATGCATACATTCATACTTCATACATACAGACATGCATACATACATACATACATACACAATAACCCGGGGATAACCATTATGTAATTGAGTGATTATACACAATTGCATTTTCTAGAAATTGATAGTTATCGTACATTGAAATATGCCAGCATTGTAGTTATCATTTCCGTTTTATTTTTCTATTTTCATACATGGTTTTGCTTTTTCTTTTTCTTTTTTTGTATCATAATTTCTCTCATGCCTCCCTTTCACTCGTACTATACCTCTCAATTATTGTCTGTGTCTGTCTCTTTATCATGTATAGGTAGATAGTTAGACAGATGAGTGTACGTGTGTCTGTATGCATTTATGTATGCATGCATGTATGTATATATGTATGCATGCATGTATGTATGTATGTATGCACACGCAAAGAAACGTATGGCACTGCATATATATGCGTAACATTATTTAACATTATATAATTCTTATTGCCATTACCTATATTCCTTCTCCTGAATGGCGGGAGAGTTTGTTTTCTTTGTTAATTAGTCTTGTTTTCTAATGGGCGAGGTAGACACGGCGGAAGGAACAGCTCTGTACATTTTGGCGGCGACTCATTCACTTACAGGTCTAGGATCCTGTCAAATCCTATACTATTGAATCCTATCAAGTCCTTTTCTATCGAAACCTATCATATCGAATCCTGTCTAATCCTATTTTATCGAATCCTATCCTTTCAAATCCTTTCCTATCGGATAGTACCTACTGAATCCCATCAAATCCTGTCAAATCCTAGTCTATCCTCTCGAATCTTATCCTATCGAATCCTGCCAAATCCTGACCCATCAATTCCTATCAAATCCTATCCTATCGAAATTTATCAAATCTGATCCTAACGAATCCTGTCCCACCGAATCCTATCTAATCCTTTCAAATCCTATCCTGTCGACTTCTATCAAATCAAATCCCACCGAATCCTATCCTTTCAAATCATATCCTGTTGATTCCTATCCAATTTTATCCTATCGTATCCTATCAAATCCTGTCGTATTGAATATCATATCCCATTGAATCCTATGCTATTGAATCCTATCGAAATCCTATCATATCGAATCTTATTCTGTCAAATCCTATCCTTTCGAATCCTTTCAAATCCTATCATATTGAATCCTATCACATCATACCCAAGCGAATTTTTTCCTGTCT